CTGTAGTCCCAGCTCGGGAGGCTGAGGCAGCAGAATCGCTTGAGCCCAGGAGTTTGAGGTTGCTGTGAGCTAGGCTGACGCCATGGCACTCAGTCTAGCCTGGGCAACAAAGTGAGACTCTGTCTCAAAAATAAAAAAGAACATTAATCTTTTCTTGCATTGTTCTTGAAAATGATGGAGGCCATACTTTGCAACAACTCATTCACAAGTCCTCCTTATCGGCCAGGCTAGGTGGCTCACTCTGGGAGGCTGAGGTGGGTGGATTGCTCAAGGTCAGGAGTTCAAAATCAGCCTGAGCAAGAGCGAGACCCTGTTTCTACTAAAAAAAAGATAGAAATTAATTGGACAACTAAAAATATGTAGAAAAAATTAGCCGGGCATGGTGGGGCATGCCTGTAGTTCCAGCTAGTTGGGAGGCTGAGGCAGGAGGATCGCTTAAGCCCAGGAGTTTGAGGTTGCTGTAAACTAGGCTGATGCCACAGTACTCTAGCCCGGGCAACAGAGTGAGACTCAGTCTCAAAAAAAGAAAAAGAAATCTTGCTTATCTTCAATCTACCTTCCTTCCCAGCCTCTGCTGTTCTCTGGTGTGCTGCTCTCTGCAATTTCCTCAACTTTCAGCAGGCTCCCTCCTCCCACCTATTTTTTGTTTTATCGTGTAGATCAATTTGACCTCTCTTTCCAAGAAAATGTTCCAACCAACTTCCCAACCTTGTCCCAAGTGATCTGAAAGATGATGTCTTTTAGAAGGGGGGGGGATTGAGCTGGCAATTACAGAGTACTCTTTGGCAGGCTGGGAAAAGGAAAAGTATGAATTTTCTTGCCCTGTCCCTGGTATTTTGCAAAGCTTTCCAAGTGATTCTGCTTTCTGGCCCCTTTTGAGAACTACAGCTCTTAACCAAGATGCCCTTTCATTTCTTGAAAAGTTCTATTTTTTGGCAAATCTCTCCCTGCAAAGTGCATTCTTCTTTCTGTGCTGGCCCCAGAAAGAGATGCCATTGTGTGAGAGTGGACATCCATCACCTGTCCCAACAAAGTCCACAAAGTGCAGGAGCAGGTGACCCAGAACATCTACTTGAGTCTCTCAGTCGAAATTCCTGGCCAGACTGGCGTTAGCTTTCTTTCTGAAAAAAGGGGCGATCTTGGATGGCCCGGCCACCTTCCCAGCAAGAACGATCCTGCAGATAATGCTTCTCAGCGTCACCAAAGCTGCCTTGGTAGTGATGCAGTGGCGGCTGCTGGGCAGATGCATGAGGACCCAGCAGGGAAGACCTGGGTGCCGGCAGCCAGCCCAGCAGGACATTCGCAGTGGAGGGTGTGACCTTAGCCTTCATCCAGCTGGCCCGGAGTCCCCCGAGAGTCAGAGTTGCACCCTATCAGTCTGACCCCTCAATGTTCCTCTGGACTCAAAGTGTTTTGAAAAGATCCTCCGACTCCCACCCTTCCCGCTTCACCCCTCAGCCCTTCCCTACGGCCAAGGCCCCGAGTGCCAGCAACCCCCAGGTGGGCAGTAAGTGAGGTCTTCGAGCACAAACCCCAATCCTGCCCTCTTTTGAAAAATATTTTGGACTTAAGGGAGGCTGTCCTCAGCTGTTTTGAACCTATTTTGGAGTACCTCTGCTTCTGGAAACCTATTTTCAAAACTCAGGGAAATGTCACCTTTCCCTACCAACTCTAGCAACAGCTCCACTCGCCCCTTGGTGTGTGGCTGTTAAAGAGCCACCGACCCCTGCAGCCAGAAAGGAGCAGAGAAAATTACTAAATGGGGAACCGAGTCCAGAGGTGACATCACCTTCAAAAACTTGTGCCTTGTTTGATGGCTTTAGAATCTTAAAGGGTTATCTTAGCTTCGTGTCCCCAGTGTGAATAAAGCAAACAACCAACAATAAAAACTACCTGTGAAATCTAAATTCAAACTTTCTTGTGACCTGTGAGTCCATTTTTAGCAGTCATGGTCCCAGGCAAGGCAACACAACACCCCCGTATACACACACACACACACACACACACACACACACACACACACACACACATACATACACACAGAAGATAAGGATATATATAAAACAATGTCCTTTCAAAAATATAAATGTTAGCTCAGGGAGAATCAGGAATTCCATAATTCCTTCTGTGACTGGTTCACATTAGGTTTTCCATCCGTGTGTCGATTTTCCTGCTGTACTCTCCTGTGCAGCGGGTCTGGAGCTGTGGATATTTATGAACCCCCTAGGCACCCACCTCCTGTCTCAGTGGCTGTTCCCTGTCCCGCCTCTGCGCCTTTCCCCGGCTTTGGCCACCAGATGGCACTCTGGAAACATGCTCGGCGCCGGAGTTTTCCGCATCAACGCTCCCCTGCGTTACTCCCAGCTGCCTCCCTCCCTCCTCTCTCTCTCCTTCCAATCCGTTTTCCAGAGTGTAGCCGAAGGGCACTGGAGGGCAAATCTGCGTGATCTTGGGCAAGTTACGCTAACGCTCTGCTCAGGGTCTTCAACCTGATGGCTTGGTTGTGAGGGCAGCAGGAGCGCACGCAGGTAAAGCGCTCAGGGCCAGGCCTGGCTCGGAGCTGCTGTTCTCCTCGTCCTGCTTTGAGCCCTCCCCAAACTCCCCATGGCCTCAGGACAAGGTCCCAGTCCTCAGCATGGGAACCCAGGCTCCCATCCTCGGGTGGCCCCTGCTTACGTGCCCAGCCCCCCGCTGTTCCCCACTCCACCCTGAGGGCCCCCTTGTAGCACAGTGAGGAGCCAGCTCACCCCCCCAGGCCCTTTGCCCCTCTGCTCCCTCCACCTGCTTTGCCTCTCCCCTGCCCAACCCCCTTCCTCTGCTCACCCCTTTCTGTCCCTGTCCCGAAGGGGCAGCAGTAACCTCCAGGAGGAGCCTCCCCTGCCCCCTAGGCCGGAATCCAGAGCCACTGCACTGGGCTCCCTTGTGTCATTTCCCCCGCCCCCACCTTAGACGTAAGCCCCTGGTCTTGGTCACTGCCTGGCACACAGCGGGTGACTCAGGGCCGGACAGTGAGGATGTCACAGGCTGACTGTCAGCAGCGGGCAAGGAGCACCCACTGTGTCTTGGCGCTCCCGGGGGGCAGTCGGGCTTCCCTTACAGTCCAGGCAGCACCGTGCCCACGCTGAGCTGAGGGAGGCCTGGGAAACGAGATTCTTGGCCAAGGAGGCGAAGACACAAGTGGAGGGACAGGGACCATGCAGGGACCATCTTCACCATTTGCATATAAGGCATAAAACTTGGAGATGATCAAAGGCACAATCACAGTCCCCGAGTATCGCGTGCTTTCTCTGTGCCGAGCCCTTTCCGCGTCATCTCACTGAATCCTTTCCACAAACTGAGATGAGATGGGTGACAGCCACACTCTCAGAGAAGGAAACTGAGGCTCAGAGGGTGAAGCCACTTGTGCAATGTTTCAGAGCTTGCGAGTGGCCTGTCCGTCCCCAGAGTCGTGCCTTTGGAACTGGCCCCATGAACTCAGCCCCTTGCTGTGGCTTAGTGGGCTGCGGTGAGATAGTTGGGAAACCTCCAGGAGTAGAATATGGGGCACAAGGAGAGACAAGACAGAGGGAAAGGGAAGGAGCGCAGATGGCTGTCTGTCAGCCACGCCAGTCCTGATGGCCACAGGCCTCCGTGCCAACAAGCCCCGATTGGTGTCACTTGGTTCCAAACGGGCACCACTGGCCCCAAGGACTCAGCGGCCACTGCCCACCTACGGGGAGCTTGCCCTTAATTCCCATCACCTCAAATGCTTTACAAACCTCTGGCATCAACCTCAAGGTGCGGTGTGAGGCTGGGAGAGTGCTGGGGGCAGCACTCGTTGAGCCCAGAATGGGAAGCAGGACGGCACCTCCAAGGCCACACGAGCACACTGCCCACTCGCCTCCTTTCCAGGGCTCCACCTCTATGACAAGCTGAACAGGAGGGAGGACACCTCAAAATGTCTAGGAGGAGCGTTGGGAGGCAAAGGGTGCGTGGCACTGTCATCAACAGAGTGGGGAGAGAACTGGAGGAAGAGAGAGAGACATGGATGAACGGGAGGGGAAGGTGTGGGAGAGGGAAATGCATAACCCTCTCCCAGAGCAGCTGTAGCCAGGAAACCTGGGGCTTCCCCATGAGACTCAGGTTGGACCACAAGGCTGGGCGGCTGGAAGGGAAGGGGGAGGGAGCCACACAGCCGGTCAGACAGCCCCTTGCAGCTTCTGGAGCCAAGGCCATGGGCACCCTCCCTGGCCAGTGTGGGCAGGGACCGCCCCAGGGCCAATGCAAAAGCCAGAGGTAGGCACTGGGGGAGTTATGCGGATTACAACACCCGCCCCTGACAATAACATGCCTGCCTGTGACTAGGGGCCAGGCCCAGGCCCTTTGTGCATCATTTCATTTAATCCTCACAACTTCCTGCTGAGAGAGCTAAGATTCTTATTTCCATCCTCACTCTACCTCAAAGATGAGGTAGTGGAGGCCCAGAGAGGTTAAGTGACTTGTCCCAGATGACCCAGCTGGTAAGTCAGGATTAGAACCTAGGCAGTTTAGCTCTGAGAACTGCTCTGTTAATCACAGCTGCTCTCTAGTAAGACGAAAGTGGGTAATCAGGGCAGAGGCAAGATCGGAAAGTAAACAAGTGTGGGAAAAAGAAAAAAGCGGGAGAGGAGTAATGGAGAAAATACAGGAACAGAGAGAGGTGAGGAAGGGAAGAGAGACAGGGCACAGGACTTGCCCAGGAGGGACATAAGTCCACGCACGGGTGGGCGGGGGCTCGGGCGCTCTGCTCGCTTGGCTCCTCCGGGGTAGCCGCCTTGCTGCACGGACGGCACCTTCCCTTCCGGCCTGTCCCCGGAGTCCCGGCCTCATCCTCCTCAGCGGCAGGCCACTCAGCTTCACGGGAAATGCTCTTTCTCTAATTGGCATTGAAACTCACAGCCCTCCCTTTTCCTGTAGGTGGGGTTTCCATAGGAAAAAGCTGCTGCTCTGTTTCCCCAGCCTAGCAACTGTTTGGAAGTCAGAGTCCCATATCCTGCTCTTACTGGGTCAAGTCCCTCCTGGACCAGCTCTGTCCATCATTTGCTGAACTGGACCGGCTGGTGTCCCTGTGGGCGGTCTCCCCCGACAGTTTTACTCCAGCGGTGCGTGGACCTCTCGGCTCGCTCGCGGTGAAGATGGCCTCGCCTGGGAATCCTGCTTGCTCTGTCACCCTCTAATGATGGGGCGAGGTTGTGCAAGCAGGTCTGGGGGCAGGAGAACAAAGCCACTGAGGAAACACTGGAGGACTTGTCCAGCCTCTCATGAACTCTAGCGGTGTCTGAACCCAGCCCACTCCGGTGGTAAGCATGATGCAACTTCTGCGACTTCTGCTGGGGCTTTTGGGGCCAGGTGGCTACTTGTTCCTTTCAGGGGATTGTCAGGAGGTAGCCACGCTCACGGTGAGATACCAAGTGTCGGAGGAAGTGCCTTCTGGCACAGTGATAGGGAAGCTGTCCCGGGAACTGGGCCGGGAGGAGAGGTGGGGGCAGGCGGGGGCTGCCTTCCAGGTCTTGCAGCTGCCTCAGGCCCTGCCCATCCAGGTGGGCCCCGAGGACGGGCTGCTCAGCACGGGGAGGCGGCTGGATCGAGAGCAGCTATGCCGACAGTGGGACCCCTGCCTGGTTTCCTTTGACGTGCTTGCCACGGGGGATCTGGCTCTGATCCACGTGGAGATCCAAGTGCTGGACATCAATGACCACCAGCCACAGTTTCCCAAAGGCGAGCAGGAGCTGGAAATCTCTGAGAGCGCCTCTCTGCGCACCCGGATCCCCCTGGACAGAGCTCTTGACCCCGACACGGGCCCTAATACCCTGCACTCCTACACCCTGTCCCCCAGCGAGCACTTTGCCTTAGATGTCATCGTGGGGCCAGATGAGACCAAACACGCAGAACTCGTGGTGGTGAAGGAGCTGGACCGGGAAATCCACTCATCTTTTGACCTGGTGTTAACCGCTTATGACAACGGGAATCCCCCCAAGTCAGGCACCAGCTTGGTCAAAGTCAACGTCCTGGACTCCAATGACAATAGCCCTGTGTTTGCTGAGAGTTCGCTGGCGCTAGAAATCCAAGAAGATGCCGCCCCTGGCACTCTCCTCATAAACCTGACAGCCACGGACCCTGACCAAGGCCCCAACGGGGAGGTGGAGTTCTTCCTCAGTAAGCACGTGCCGCCAGAGGTGCTAGACACCTTCAGCATCGATGCCAAGACGGGCCAGGTCATCCTGCGCCGATCCCTGGACTACGAGAAGAATCCTGCCTATGAGGTGGATGTCCAGGCCAGAGACCTGGGCCCCAATCCCATCCCAGCCCACTGCAAAGTTCTCATCAAGGTTCTGGACGTCAATGACAATGCCCCAAGCATCCACATCACGTGGGCCTCCCAGCCGTCCCTGGTGTCAGAAGCTCTTCCCAAGGACAGTTTTATTGCTCTAGTCATGGCAGACGACTTGGACTCAGGAAACAATGGTCTGGTCCACTGTTGGCTGAGCCAAGAGCTGGGCCACTTCAGGCTGAAAAGGACTAATGGCAACACGTACATGTTGCTAACCAATGCCACCCTGGACAGAGAGCAGTGGCCCAAATATACCCTCACTCTGTTAGCTCAAGACCAAGGACTCCAGCCCTTATCTGCCAAGAAACAGCTCAGCATTCAGATCAGTGACGCCAACGACAATGCACCGGTGTTTGAGAAAAGCAGGTACGAGGTCTCCACTCGCGAGAACAACCTACCCTCTCTCCACCTCATTACCATCAAGGCTCACGACGCAGACCTGGGTGTGAACGCGGAAATCTCATACCGCATCCAGCACTCCCCAGTTTCCCACCTGGTAGCTATTGACTCCGACACGGGGGAGGTCACTGCTCAGAGGTCACTGGACTATGAAGAGATGGCCGGCTTCGAGTTCCAGGTGATCGCAGAGGACAGGGGACAGCCCCAGCTTGCATCCAGCGTCTCTGTATGGGTCAGCCTCTTGGACGCCAACGATAATGCCCCAGAGGTGATCCAGCCTGTGCTCAGCGATGGAAAAGCCAGCCTCTCGGTGCTTGTGAACGCCTCCACCGGCCACCTTCTGGTGCCCATTGAGACTCCCAGTGGCTTGGGTCCAGCAGGGCCTGACACACCCCCACTGGCCACTCCCAGCTCCCAGCCCTTCCTTTTGGCAACCATTGTGGCGAGGGACGCGGACTCGGGGGCAAACGGAGAGCTCCTCTACAGCATCCGGAGTGGGAATGAAGCCCACCTCTTTGTCCTCAGCCCCCAGCTGGGGCAGCTGTTTGTCAACACCACCAACGCCAGCAGCCTCCCTGGCAGTGAGTGGGAGCTGGAGATCGTGGTAGAGGACCGGGGCAGCCCCGCCTTGCAGACCCGAGCCCTGCTGAAGGTCATGTTTGTCTCCAGCGTGGACCACCTGAGGGATTCAGCCCGGGAGCCTGGGGTCCTGAGCACGTCGGTGCTGACGGTGACATGCCTGGCCACACTGCTGGGCATCTTTGGCTTGGTCCTGGCTCTGTTCATGTCCATCTGCCGGACAGAGAAGAAGGACAATAGGGCCTACAACTGCCGGGAGGCTGAGTCCACCTACCGCCACCAGCCCAAGAGGCCCCAGAAACACATTCAGAAGACTGACATCCACCTGGTCCCTGTCCTCAGGGGTCAGGCGGGTGAGCCTGGCGAAGTCGGGCAGTCCCACAAAGACTCAGGCAAGGAGGCGATGATGGAAGCAGGCTGGGACCCCTGCCTGCAGGCCCCCTTTCACCTCACTCCGACCCTGTACAGGACCCTGCGTAACCAAGGCAACCAGGGACCCCCGGCGGAGAACCGCGAGGTGCTGCAGGACACCGTCAACCTCCTTTTCAACCACCCCAGGCAGAGGAACGCCTCCCGGGAGAACCTGACCCTTCCCGAGCCCCTGCCTGCCGCCGGGCAGCCTCGCCCCAGGACCCCGAAGGTTGCGGGCAGCCCCACGGGGAGGCTGGCTGGAGACCAGGGCAGCGAGGAGGCCCCACAGAGCCCACCAGCCTCCTCTGCAACCCTGAGGCGGCAGCGAAATCTCAATGGCAAGGTGTCCCCTGAGAAAGAATCAGGCCCCCGTCAGATCCTGCGGAGCCTGGTCCGGCTGTCGGTGGCTGCCTTTGCAGAGCGGAACCCCGTGGAGGAGCTCACTGTGGATTCTCCTCCTGTCCAGGTACCTGGGGCGTGGGCAGCTCTTTCTCTGGTCTCCCCTGGACCACCACCTTCAGCGTCGGACACCCCCATCACCCTCACATTCCTCACATGGATTCCTTAGGCTCACCGGCACTTTATGGTGCCTTGGGTAGCAATGGTTCAGGGCATAGCTTGGGCTCGGCTGAACTTAGCTGTGTGATCCCGGGCAAATTACTTACTGTCTCTGAGCCTTAGTTTCCTTATGTGTAAAATAGGAACAATAGTAAGAGTATCTGCTTCATAGAGTTGTCCTGGACAATTTGGTCGGATAATTCCTATACAGCCCTTGCGGTAGCTGGCTTTATGGGAATGTGTGATTAAGAGCATAGACTTTGGGGCAAGGTTGTCTGGGCTCAAATCCTGATTCTAATCTTCCTAGCTGTGGACCACACAGAAGTTAGTCAACTTCTCTGTTGAAGGTGTCCATGTGACCAGCACCCATCTTCTAAGTTTGCTTGAAGATAAAAAGAGTTAACTCACGTAATGCCCGTAGAACAATGTTCGGTATGCAGTCAGCGCTCAGCAAATGATGACTATTACTTCCGCAAAACATTCCTCCATCTCCCCTCTCCACTTGCCCTCCTCTCACCCGGGAAACCCCCCTATGGAGCAAGCCAGCATGGGCATCATTGCCCCAGGCTCCTGGGCTGCATCTGACCAGCCTGAGACCCCACAGCCCACTGGCTGGGCCTGCAGGATGGGGCTGTGGAAACAACCTTAGGACTTGGGAGGTAGGCAGATGCCGGTTCAAATTTCAACACAGCCCCTTAGGAACTGGACAACGTCGGGCAAGCTCTTTAAGCCCTGAGCCTCATTTTCCTCATCTATGAAATGGGGACTGGCCGGGCACGGTGGCTCACGCCTGTAATCCTAGCACTCGGGGAGGCCGAGGTGAGTGGATTGCTCAAGGTCAGGAGTTCAAAACCATCCCGAGCAAGAGCGAGACCCCGTCTCTACTATAAATAGAAATAAATTAATTGGCCAACTAATACATATAGAAAAAAGTATCCGGGCATGGTGGCGCATGCCTGTAGTCCCAGCTACTTGGGAGGCTGAGGCAGGAGGATTGCTTGAGCCCAGGAGTTTGAGGTTGCTGTGAGCTAGGCTGACGCCACGGCACTCACTGTAGCTTGGGCAACAAAGTGAGACTCTGTCTCAAAAATAAAATAAAGTAAAATAAAATGGGGACTATGAGGCCAAACTCACCCTGTGTCTGCCTCCCTGGAGGTGTGAGGGTTAAATGGGGTGATGAATGACACAGTATCTAGAGACTCCGGATCTACTAGACACAAATGAGGACTCTTTTTCAGGGATGGCACCTGATCTCACACCCGTATTTGCTCCTCTGGACCCCAGATATTTCCACTGTGCCAGGCTGCCTGCCCAAGGCACACTTCTGCTCGGCCAGGCCGTCAGCTCAGGTTTCCTGTGAAGCAAGGACACAACTTCCTTCCCTCACCCCCTCCTCGGGAAGCCACCTGGAGATGGCCCAGATGTTTTCTTAGCAGTCTTGCCCTGGGCTCCCTGCAGACCCAGAGGTTGCCCGGAGCCATCATCCATCCACTCACCCGTCCCTCCACCTGTCCATCCATTCATTCGTCAAGTGCTTTCTGGTGAGCTCTTTGTGCCAAACCTCGTGCTGGTTGGTGGGGGACAGGATGGCGGAGAGCAGGCACTATGGGCGACCCCACTGGGTGGTGGAAGGAAAGGTGCCCATTTGGGATCAACTGGACGGTAGGAGGCAGCTCGCCCAATGCTCATGTCTTTCTGACGGCACCGCACCACTGCGGAGTCAGATCGGAGTTCAGATTCTAGCCTGGCCGCTCATTGCTGTGTAGGACCCGTGAGCCTCAGGTTCCACCTCTGTAAAATGGGTCTAATGGCATCTCTTCCCTGGGGCTGTTCTAAGAATTAAACGAGATTATACGCCACAGGACAATTACTGAGTGTTTATCATGGGATCTATTAATAAGTGATTTATATGCTTTGGTTCATTTACCCTCATAACCATCACATGACCTGCGTCTCACTGTTACTCACTTTTTCACCACCGAGGAAACTGAGGCTCAGAATACTTAAGTAATTCCTCAAGGCCACAGAGATGGAAACTGGGGCAGGAGCAGACTCTGACTGACTCCAAAGGTTGGTCTCTAACTGTGAAGTGACCCTGAATGACAGTACTCAGCACAGGGCTTGGTATGTGGGGAGTGTCCCCGAAATGTTGGCTGTCACTTGGGCAAAGGGTAGCCTTAGGAGGGCTTCTGCATTTCAGCTGGCAGGTAGGATCTGCCCTGAGGCAGACAAGGGGACCTTGACCCTCCCAAGTCCTGGCCACCTCCTCTTCCACCTGTCCTCCGAGGTTGGGACTTCCTGCCCCGAGCTGCACAGAGGGCAGCGGGGCTTCCCCAGGGAGCAGTGGGAGTGCGCCCCATCTAGTCCTGACACCTCTGTGAAGAAGGCTGGGTGGGTATTTCTAGCCCCACTTTAGAGATGAGAAAACTGAGGTCTGAGGAGGTCTAAAAATCTGCCTGATAGTGCACAACAAGCTAGAAATAACTTTGACCTAGAACTCAGCCTCTCAAGACTTGGTCCGTTACCTCTCCTTCCTGGGGCTCTATAGGATCTGGCTCTGACCCCTCACGCACCCCCTGCCCCATTTTCCGGTCTTTCTGAAACTCTACCGTTTCTTCCAGCTGTTCGGCTTGCAGTGCTTCTGCCCAAAACCCCTTTACTTCTTGCCCAGATGCTCACTCTCCTCCTACTTGCCAAACTCGTACGGAGCATTTGTGCCTCTGCAGAGGAGCCTGGCAAATCATGTGAACTCAAGAAACATTTGTTGATATAAGGCCAGGCATAGTGGCTGACGCCTGTAATCCCAGGACTCTGGGAGGCTGAGGCAGGAGGATCACTTGAGGCCAGAAGTTAGAGACCAGCCTGAGCCAGAGCAAGACCCCATCTCTAGAAAAAAATAGAAATTAGCTGGGCATAGCGGCACATGCCTGTAGTCCCAGCTACTTGGGAGGCTGAGGCAGGAGGATGGCTTGAGCCCAGGAGTTTGAGGTTGCTGTGAGCTATGATGACACCACTGCACTCTAGCCTGGGCAACAGAGTGAGACTCTGTCTCAAAACAAACAAACAAAAACACAAAAAAATGTGTTGGAATAAATAAATAAACTTCCCCCATTAACACCCCCCTACTTCTTCCCTGCTGTGAGTTGGGTGGGGCCCTCCTCTGCTCCCCCAGGCCCCCACCCTTTGCCAATACCCAAATGTCACCCCCTATCCACTGTCCCCTGCCTTCCGGGCAGACTGCGAGCTCCCTGAGGGCAGCAGCTGGTCTCATTCACTTGTTGAGTGAATGAAGGGCGAATAAATGAAAGATTCAATGACACTATTTTGCCTTCTCTAAACATAATCTTACATCTGGCCCACAAAAATTGTCTGTTTGTTTGTTTGAATACTGCTAAAAGGGGAAAATAACTCTTTAGGGATAATCCTTATCAAAGTAATAATAATTTTACGGTCAGGAAATGCCTTTTCACCCCCACCCCACAGAGTCCTCTAGGCACAGGTCACTTGGGAGACTGAGCACGAGGGGATGGGTCCGGAGGGTCCCCATGCTGTCCCTTGGACACCTAGGTTCTGGGTGACATGGCAAAGCAGGGGACCTGCCCGCCCAGGTCCCTGTCTCCGTCACTGGCACCATCCCCCCATCTGATCACACAAGCATCTGAAGCCAGAGGAAAGACTATAAAAAGAAAGCACCGGCGTTGAGGGAAACATCCGGCAAGGAAGTGTGCTGGGTCGGAATTGTGTGGAGTCAACAGATTTTTCCTGTCTTGTAGCAAATCTCCCAGCTGCTGTCCTTGCTGCATCAGGGCCAATTCCAGCCCAAACCAAACCACCGGGGAAATAAGTATTTGGCCAAGCCAGGAGGCGGCAGGTAAGCGGCACGGTAGCCCCACAGACAGCTCAAGGCCCCTACCGCCGGCCCTCCCCCTGGTAGCCTCTGGGAGGTGAGGAAGGGTGAGCTCATCCCAGACACTGGTCCCCGGGGAGACTGCAGCAGACAGCGCCCAGCCCCCACCCTGGGAGGCTGGGTTCTGGGGCGACTGTATTTATGGGATTTACAGGACCCAGAGTCACTGAGGAAATGACTTCATCCCTGAGGCTCTATCTGCCCCCTGATTACAGAGGTGCTATAAATTGGCTTTAAATTTGTAACTTTCACCTTTCTTTCTCTTTATCCATAAACATGAGGGCATAATATGAAGTCTCCCCACTAAGGATGTGGAAGTGTGGGTGTGTCCCTTTGGGCAGTCCTAGAATTGAAGAGACATCAAGAGGACATCTAATCTAACTCTTTGTTACAGATGGAGAAACTGAGGCTCTAAGTAGTTTGGTCCAACCCAGCTGTGTAAACTTGAGCACGTCAGATAATCTCTCAGAACCTCGGTTTCTCCATTTGTAAAATGCAGGTCAGAACACTTCTCTTGTAGTGATGGGGAGAGGATTTCATGATCAGTTGCTTTCTAAGCCCATAGCCCAGTGCCTGGCACATAGTAGGAAGTTGCACACGCAATGCTAAGTCCTTTCCCCTTAAAGCAACTTTGCCCAAGGTCACATAGCAAGTGAATGGCCAAGCTGGGACCAGCTCCCTGGGCCCTTGACTCTTGGATCAGTGGTCTTGCCCTGACAACTTGTAGCTCCCTTTTTTTGCAAGGATGATGAGAGGTAGTATTGAGCAGGGCTGAGTACATACACTCCAGAGTCACATTGGCCTGAATTTGAATTGTTTCATCACTTAATCCATGGGGTCCTTGGGCAAGCTGCAAAATCTTCACAAGTCTTGGTTTTCTCATATGCAAAAAATGGGGATGATGACAAGAGAACACCTTAGAGTTATGAAAGGTTTGGATGAGATGGTGCCTGCACCTTGCACTAGCAAGAGGCCTGACTCAGACTCATGGCTCAAAAAAACATTAGTTGTCCTTATTACCCACAAACTCGCCACCTCCCCACTGATCTCTTCCTAGGAGCAGAAATGGCCACAGGAACAAAAGCAAACAAACAGAAAGAACTCCTAGGCCTTAAGGCTCCTCAGGAAGTCTTCTTGCCTTCCAGGAGGAGGGTCCAGGTCTTTCCCCCCATGATGATGAGAGGGAGGGTCTGCACAATGGAGGAGCTAGGTGGAGACAGCAGGAGAGGGAGGTGCAGGCAGTAGACTCTGAGCAGCTTTAGGACACCTTCTTTCAGCTATGTCCTCCATAGATCTGCTCCTGGTCTGGGATTTGGCCTTAAATAAAGAAGAAGTAACATTCAGTCACTCATTGCACAAAGTATTTATTAAGCACCTGCTGTGTGCCAGGCCCTGTTCTGAGCACTGATGAGGAAGTAGGGAAAGAGACAGACAAAAACCCCTGCCTTGCTAGAGCACCTGCTCTGATGGATGGTGGATTAGTGCACTGGAGGGTGGATGAGTGCCCTGGAGGGTGGATGACTGCCCTGGAGGGTGGATGAGTGCCCTGGAGGTGGATGAGTGCACTGGAGGTGGATGAGTGCACTGGAGGTGGATGAGTGCACTGGAGGGTGGATGAGTGCACTGGAGGGTGGATGAGTGCACTGGAGGTGGATGAGTGCCCTGGAGGGGGGAGCACTGGAGGGTGGATGAGTGCCCTGGAGGGTGGATGAGTGCACTGGAGGGTGGATGAGTGCCCTGGAGGTGGATGACTGCACTGGAGGGTGGATGAGTGCACTGGAGGGTGGATGAGTGCACTGGAGGTGGATGAGTGCACTGGAGGGTGGATGAGTGCACTGGAGGGTGGATGAGTGCACTGGAGGGTGGATGAGTGCACTGGAGGGTGGATGACTGCCCTGGAGGGTGGATGAGTGCACTGGAGGGTGGATGAGTGCCCTGGAGGTGGATGAGTGCCCTGGAGGGTGGATGACTGCACTGGAGGGTGGATGAGTGCACTGTAGGGTGGATGAGTGCCCTGGAGGTGGATGACTGCACTGGAGGGTGGATGAGTGCACTGGAGGGTGGATGAGTGCACTGGAGGGTGGATGAGTGCCCTGGAGGGTGGATGAGTGCACTGGAGGGTGGATGAGTGCCCTGGAGGTGGATGACTGCACTGGAGGGTGGATGAGTGCACTGTAGGGTGGATGAGTGCCCTGGAGGGTGGATGACTGCACTGGAGGGTGGATGAGTGCACTGGAGGGTGGATGAGTGCACTGGAGGGTGGATGAGTGCACTGGAGGGTGGATGAGTGCACTGGAGGTGGATGAGTGCACTGGAGGTGGATGACTGCACTGGAGGGTGGATGAGTGCACTGGAGGTGGATGACTGCACTGGAGGGTGGATGAGTGCCCTGGAGGGTGGATGAGTGCACTGGAGGGTGGATGAGTGCACTGGAGGGTGGATGAGTGCCCTGGAGGTGGATGACTGCCCTGGAGGGTGGATGACTGCACTGGAGGGTAGATGACTGCCCTGGAGGGTGGATGACTGCACTGGAGGTGGATGACTGCACTGGAGGGTGGATGCATGCACTGGAGGGTGGATGAGTGCACTGGAGGGTGGATGAGTGCCCTCGAGGGTGGATGAGTGCCCTGGAGGGTGGATGAGTGCACTGGAGGGTGGATGAGTGCACTGGAGGGTGGATGAGTGCACTGGAGGGTGGATGAGTGCCCTGGAGGGTGGATGAGTGCCCTGGAGGTGGATGACTGCACTGGAGGGTGGATGAGTGCACTGGAGGGTGGATGACTGCACTGGAGGGTGGATGAGTGCCCTGGAGGTGGATGAGTGCGCTGGAGGTGGATGAGTGCCCTGGAGGGTGGATGAGTGCACTGGAGGGTGGATGAGTGCACTGGAGGGTGGATGAGTGAACTGGAGGGTGGATGAGTGAACTGGAGGGTGGATGAGTGCACTGGAGGTGGATGACTGCACTGGAGGGTGGATGAGTGCACTGGAGGTGGATGAGTGCCCTGGAGGGTGGATGAGTGCACTGGAGGTGGATGAGTGCACTGGAGTGCACTGGAGGTGGATGACTGCACTGAAGGTGGATGACTGCACTGGCTCAACTAAAGTTTATTAAACTCCTACTCCGTGCCAGGCATGCAAAGCCATCAGAGGGACAGTGGTGAGTGACAATATCAATGAATTCATTTTCACTTCTGTTCACTGAGTGCTTATAATGCTCCAGGTACTATGCTAAGCCCTCTACCTACAACTTCTCATTTTACCCTCACAGCACCCTGTGAGGTGGGTGTTATTTACTACTCCCATTTTACACATGGGAAACAGAGTAAGCAGGAGGGCTGGGATCACACAACCCAGGTTGGTCAGACTCTGAAGGCCAGGCTGTGTATCCAGTTTCCTGTGTGGGTGAATGAGCACGAATGAATGAATCTATGCGGGAATTTCCTCCCCTGTGGACTGGCTGGTTTCCTTTGCAGGAGTGCAATCCCAGACGCAGATGGCCCAGCTGCCAGGGCTGGTGGCCAAGCAGAACCAGAACAGGAGGAAGGGCCCTTGGACCCTGAAGAGGACCTCTCTGTGAAGCAGCTGCTAGAAGAAGAGCTGTCAAGCCTGCTGGACCCCGACACAGGTAGGGACTCTCCAGGATGGCCCCAACCCTGCTCCTGCCCCATGGTCCCCTCATGTGCCCAGGCTGCAGGGAAACAGCCATTCTGTTTCTGGGGAGGAACCTCAGCAACATTTAACTCCCCTGGAGCTGCAGAAAGTATTCAATTGTTTAAAGACCTGGTTCTACTTTGATTACTAATTTTAAAAATTATTGTAAGAATAGCAAACAATTACTGAGCTCTTGGTATGTGCCAGGCACTGGGAAAGCATCTGATACACATTATCTCATTTAAGCCTCCAAACAGTCCTTTGAGGTGGATATTATTAGCTCCAATTTACAGATGAGCAAACAGGTTTAAAAAGGTGAAGTAGTCTGCTCAGAGTCACCTAGCTCACCAGGCCAGGTGCCAACACGTGGGCTAGACTGTCCTTCAGAGACTTCCCCCTAACTCCTAAACCACTCAGTTGTAGTTCTTTGGCATATTTAAATATCCCTTTCACCCTGGGAACTGGATAAACTCTTTAATGTGCTAACACTTCTAATTGAAACAAAAAAAAAATTTTTTTTTTAGAGAAACAATTAGTTTTAACAATAAATACATAACGTGAACTTGAATTCAACAATCTGCTAGTTGCCCCGCCCCTGCTGTGGACATCGGTCAGCCTCCTTTAGGTAACGCACCACACGTCTGACCGTTCCTGTGCTGTAGTTTTTCTGTTTCTGTAGTTCACAATCTATTTCTCATGTGCTCCGTCTGGCTGCAAGCACGCTGAAGACATGGCGGAGACTTCCCTTTCCTTGGTTAAAAAAATATAGCTGACATTTACTGAGCGCTTTCTATGTGCTAGTCCCCGTTCTAAGTACTCACGGAAACATCTTATGAGATAGGGGCTATTCGTTATCCCCATTCCACAAAAGGAAAAGCTAAGGGCCAGGGTGTCTAATCATTTACCCGAGGTTGTACAGCTAATGGTTATTAACACAGGCAGTACGGCTCTAAATGTTAGAGCTGTGCTGTTCATATGGTAGCCACTGGCCACATGTGGCTACTTAAATTTAAATGAATTAAAATTAAAGAAAATGAAATGTGCAATTCCTCTGTCACACCGGCCACGTGTCAAGTGCTCATTGGCCCCCTGTGGCTAGGAGATGTAGCTTTGGACTCCATCTCTGCCAGCCAGCTGAGGGCTGGGATCTGTGGGCTCAACTCCCCCATGGTCCTACCTCCCATGGCAGAGAGGACACTGAGCACGGGGGGTTGTGAGACGTGAGGGACAAGGAAGGAAGAGGGACGGAAAAACCTTTGCTCTTTCAGGCTGGACCACTGCAAGGGCTGTTTTTGATTGTGCACGAACTCCTTAAATCTCACAATGACCCAACACGATAAGTGTTACTGTCTCAAAACGCTTTGCGAGAGGAAAAGGAGGCTCAGAGAGGTTAAGCCCTTTCCCCAAGGTCACCACCACTGGCTCTAAGTGGCAAGGCTGGGAAATGGTACCCAGGTCTGCCCAGCGCCCACCTTCGGCTAGAACTGGTGGGTGATGCCGAGTGAATTCACCATCGCTTTTCAGCCATCCTCATATGCCGCCGTGATCTTCTCATTCCAAGCTTCACTTCTTCTGGAGTTCTCCAACCCTTGTGCAAGCAAAGGCCTGATTCTGTAACACCAAGAGTTCCGTTCAACCTTATGGCCCCAGGGTCTCAGGAACTAAGGTTTACATTTCCCAGATGCCGAGGGTTAATATTTATGTTCATTCAGCCGTTCGACAAACATTCACTAAGCTCCAGGCATGGGGCTGGGCCCCAGGATCCAGCAGGGCAGGGGCCCACGCCTGTCTCACAGCATGCACAGTCCAGAACTGAATGCAAGACAGAGTTTCATTGACTAATATAAAAACAACTAGCTCTGCTCTGGAATAACTTTTTCAAATTACAAAAGTAGTATTCGGTTAATGTAGAAAAATATAATTAAACAAAAAGAGAATAAATCACTTCTGCCCGGGGGTGATTTCAGTTAACACTTTGACATATCTCCTTCCAGTCTTCTATGCTGTGCACAGATTTTAAAGCAGCTCACCTTAGGCAACCATTAAATAAATGTTAAGGTAGATGTTGTGCCCCCTCCCTTTATTTTTAAAGACACTGTTTCTTAACCATAAGACTTTCCTTTCTTTCCTCTGCCTTGGTCTCTACCATCTGGTCTGGGACTAGTTTTTTGAGATAGGATTTTCTGTAGAGGGGATGGGAAAAGAAGTGTATGGTGGCATTGGGAATCTAGGTGCAATTTTTTTCATTCCCAGCCACCAGGCTGAGTTGCCCTGGCCTCTGCCCCAGTCCCTTTCCTGGGACAGCCCTCAGGCAGACAGCCCGACTCTAAGTGAGGTTCCTTGCAGCTGGAGGGGTGAAGGTGTTGCGGACGTGGGGCCAGGTGGCAACAGTGCAGAGCTCAGCAGGCCTGCGCCACAGGTGGGTACCTGGGGTGTCCTGCAGGAGGAAGAGCCACTCTTCAGAGAGTGGGCAGGGTGGTACAGTCATGGGGTCTATGAAGTCATCAGACCCCGGCTCACATAAGGGTTTGGCTACCTAGCAGTTTCCTCATCCATAAAATAGGTACACTTGACCTCCAAGATCTGTATGTAGGTTAAGTGAAATACATTGCTTGGCACCTCAGCCCTGTCTAAGGAAAGGGATTTTCCCTCTAACCTCCCCTAGGGGTACCTTGAGAGGAGAAGTCTCCCTGAGGGGCCAAAATCTTGGCGGGAATGTAGAAGACACTTAGACCCTGAGACACACCGCACAGGAGACCAGGAAATTCTTTAGACACAGGCTAGTTTCTACTTCTAGGCCTTCCTCCTCCTCCTGCGCCTTGTCCACTGGCTCTCCGGGGGCTCCTGTGCTTCGCGGCTGCCTTCCTGCCCACGAACTTCCCCACCAGGGCCTCTTCCTTTCCGCCCCCCTCTGGCCACCACCGCCCCCAACCCGGGTGCCCTCCCCCCTCCCATTTCCCTTCCCTCCTTTGTCCCCGGCCCTTGCCCTGCCCCCAGCCCCGGCTTCGCCTCACCCTGTCCCCTGCCCCTGCAGGCCTGGCCCTGGACCGGCTGAGCGCCCCCGACCCCGCCTGGATGGCCAGGCTCTCCTTGCCGCTCGCCACCAACTACCGCGACAACGTGACCTCCCCGGATGCCGCAGCCTCGGAGGAGCCGCGGACCTTCCAGACGTTCGGCAAGGCGGCGGGGCCGGAGCTGAGCCCCACGGGCACGCGGCTGGCCAGCACCTTCCTGTCGGAGATGAGCTCGCTGCTGGAGATGCTGCTGGAGCAGCGCTCGGGCGTGCCCGTGGAGGCCGCCTCCGAGGCGCTGCGGCGCCTGTCGGTCTGCGGGAGGACCCTCAGCCTGGACCTGGCCACCGGCGGGGGCGCCTCGGGCTTGGAGGCGCAGGGGGGCCCAGGTGGAAAGAGGGGAGCCGAGGGCAGCAGCAGCAGGTGCCTGTGAACGCACCTTGGACGCCTCTGGATCCGGGAACCAGCGACCCTGGGAGACGTAAGGGGGCCCAGGCCCAGAGCATCCCGGGACATGCGCTGGTTTCTAAAATCTTGGAACTCACCCACCAGTGGTGGCCCCCGAACTTTAGGGTGACTGATGCGGCCCCCACCGAGGAGGCTGGGCCCCCAGGATGAACAGCTGACAGACCAAAGCAGCCCCTTGTAATGGGCTCTGACTGAATTTTTTGGAGGACAGGGACAGTTCGTGGCTGAGATAAGTGTTTGCTGGCAAAACACATATAAGGGCCGAGGGTCAGTCCTCCTGCAGAACAGATGCCACAGAGCATGACAAGCAGGGAAGGACGGCCTTCTTGGAGACGGGGGCTGGGGAGCTGGATCCTGGGGACATCAGGCAATGCTCTCTGACCTACTAATAAAGGGAAAGCAGTGCCTCCTTCTGCTCACACCTGTCAAGAGGGAGGAGGGAAGAGTCATAGAGTGAGGGTTCTTTGTCATCCAATCCCTGGCAAGAAAGTCATGCTGGGCCTGGACAAGAATGGGGCACCTTGGTGCACAGTGACAGGTGCACAGATGATGGGCATGTGTGCTCTTGACCTTGTTCTTCTATCACTATGTTATCAAATAATCTGCTTCTCAGCTGGAAAATTAGGGCTAAGAAAAGCACGACTATTTATAGAGCATTTACAGGAGCCAAGCACCAGGCACCAGGCTTTACAATAGGATTTAATTCGATTTTCTAACAAAGCTATGAGGGTGGTGTCATTATGCCCATTTCACAGACAAGGATACGAGGCTTGGAGAGGGTGAGTGTCTTTCCCAAGATCAAACAGGGAGTAGAAACAGAGCCAGGATTTGGACCCAGGCTGGTCCAGCTTACTAAAACCTATGCGCTCAACCTTGACACTAGACTGCCAGCCAAGGACAGGAAAAGGAAAAGCCCTAGAGGTGAGCTTTTGCCAGCAGCCGACTTGCCTGCGCTCCCCTTGGGAAACGCTGTTGAAATGAACATTCCCAAAGTCATGCAGGCCCACCCATTTCTGCCCCTCCAAGCACAGGGCGAAAGGAACTTGGATCCGTGATGCAGTTCCCCTCCCCTGTCCTTTCCCAGCAAGTAGCCCTTCATGTGCAGAAGTCATCTTTCCCGACCCCCGTCTGTGGGTGAACCTTCCTCTGTCATTGCAGGTTTGGGCCCGTGAATTCAGGCCCCAGAGGACACCGTGTGAACTGGGTCTATGAAATTGGCACTGACAGCAGCCAGTGTTTCAGGGGAGGGGAAAGTGAAGAAACAGCAGATATTTTCCCAAGGCTCAGCCTTAGAATGTTCCTGGAAATTTTCAAGCAGCCGTTCAGCTAGCTTCTGAATAGCGAGGGGCTCTCCTGGACACTGAAGGCAGAAAGCCCTCTGTCTGCTCCTCCTTTTGTCCTCTCTTCAAGCTCAGTGCTCATGGTCACTGTCCACAGAAATGGGCCAAACATATTCCCAATTACAGACAATGAACATCATACATACATGGAGTATAGTATAGCATCATTATTCCATTTTACAGAGGAGAAAAATGAGGTCCCCCAAAGTTAAGTGCCTCAGGGATAAGGTGTCTGATCACCTCACTCCAGGACAGAGGGATTTTCTTATAAGATCTATGATTTCTGAGCTGGTGCACAGAGCTGGTGGGTTCTGCAGGTCAATGACAGAGGCTGGGGAAAACCAAGCAGGCAGGGTCTCCAGCCTGACCAGCCAGGTGCCTGGGACAAAGTGATACTTGATGAATACCTGCTGAATGGGTGTATGAATGAATAAATAGGTCAATAAATGCTCAGAATCCCCTTTTATCCATATTGGAGCTCTAGTTGGGACTTCATTAGGAAAAAATGATTCCATTATATAAAAGTCACGTCTGAAAACCAAAGTATTAGAGTAGACCAAACTGGATCCCCCCTCCCCCAATTACCAGTGGATTTTCAGTGCAGAGCTGATATTGGGGGGTGGTAGAGAGATGGGGAGGAGTAATCTAAGGAAGCTGGAACCATAGCTGGCACTGGATCATTGAAAACATGGGACCACTGCATCACTCTAATTCAAAAGCCCTAAATCTGTAGTCCTTGGACTCCCTTGAACACTAAGCAAAACTTTGTATATAGGCATTTTCTAGGCAGAAGATAAAAAGTTCACATCAGATTCTCAAAGGAACACGTGACCTATAAAAGGTTATGTAGCATTGCTCCTAGATACTATCTAAACCTCCACAGACATAGGCAATTATAGTCTTAAGGGGTCCAGACTTTATCTATTTCAACTCCTCATTTTATAGTCAAGGATATAGAAAGAAATGGGGGACAACTAGCCCAAGGCTGCCTCGCAGGTGTGTGGCAGAGCTAGCATTTGGATATGGGATTTAGTATGGCAGTCTAGTATAATATCAGGGTTTTTTTTTGTTTGTTTGTTTTTTGAGACAGAGTTTCACTCTGTTGCTAGGGCTAGAGTACTGTGGTGTCAGCCTAGCTCCCAGCAACCTCAAACTCCTGGGCTCAAGCGATCCTCCTGCCACAGCCTCCCGAGTAGCTGGGACTATGGGGCATGCACCACCATTCCTGGCTAATTTTTTCCTTTTCTTTTCTTTTCTTTTTTTTTTTTTTTTTGAGACAGAGTCTCACTTTGTTGCCCAGGCTAGAGTGAGTGCCCTGGCATCAGCCCAGCTCACAGCAACCTCAAACTCCTGGGCTCAAGCGATCCTACTGCCTCAGCCTCCTGAGGACTACAGCCCTCGTGGGACTACAGGCATGCGCCATCATGCCCAGCTCATTTCTTCTATATATATTTTTAGTTGGTCAATTAATTTCTTTCTATTTTTAGTAGAGACACGGTCTCACTCAGACTGGTTTCGAACTCCTGACCTCGAGCAATCCGCCTGCCTCGGCCTCTCAGAGTGCTAGGATTACAGGCGTGAGCCACCACGCCCAGCCAATTTTTTTTATATATTTTAGTTGTCCAGATAATTTCTATTTTTAGTATAGATGGGGTCTCACTCTTGCTCAATCTGGTCTCCAACCCTGAGCTCAAATGATCCGCCCGCCTCAGCCTCCCAGAGTGCTAGGATTACAGGCGTGAGCCACTGCGCCCGGACAATATCAGGGGTTCTTAACCTGGGGTCCTTGGTTGGGCTTCAGGATCTATGAACCTACTGAATGTATGCAAAATTGAGAGGATATGCATTTTTCTATGGGAAGAAGAAGGTGCTTTCATCAGATTCTCAGAGGGGTCTAGGACCTGAATAAGATTAGGGAGCACTGCAATCCTCTAGGCAGGTCTGCAGCTCTGCCTCCCCGGCACAAGCTGGAGAACTCACGGGTAGAGAGCTGTTCCTGTTCCGAGGCAGCTGAGCTTTCATCGGGGTTGGAGTGTGTGTTTGTGAGTGTCGCTGTTCTCCCCTGTATCATGCGTCCCTCCCGGCATGCTGATGCCAGCACTTTCCCCAGTAACAGCCTGAGAGTGAGACAGTGTGTATGGTGACAGAACTGGGTGTGCTGTACAGGAAGGTTACAGAAACTTCTTGACATCAGCCAAGATGTCAAAGCTGAGACTTTGGACATGCTCAAAACAGTTTCCACCAAGATGGGCTCTGTCCCCTGGGAGACTGAGGGAGCAGGCGAGCCAGCAGGCACTCAGTTAAATGTCGTCTTAATTTGGAAAGCACAGAGGGACATTTTTTATCAATAGTCAGCTGTTCTCCCACACCAAGAGTACAATGTGGTGCTCGCCCAGAGCCTGCGGGCAGCTCAGAGATTGACAGGCAGCCTCCTCATCAGTCACCCAACTTCAGGTTGGCAGCTCACTGACCCTACCTCTCCTCTGGCTGAAACAAGAGTGAGGTGGCAACCACTACCCTTGGGACTCTGGAGAGAACCAAATCCCAAAAAGAGAAGACAGGAAGGGGAGGAGGGAGTCTTAGCACAGGTTCAACCTGGAACATAGTGGGTGCCTGGAAAATAGGTCAGCGTTTTCTAGCCCCTACTAAGTTTTGGGTACAATTGAGGAGTGGGACATGATCAGAAACACCCATTCAACAAACATTTTGTATTTATTGAATAATTACTGAATGCCAAAGGAACACAAAAAACAACAGTGGGAGGAGGGGCTATACAGAATCATTCATTCATTCAAATTATTTAAAATTATTCATGAAAATTATTTAAAGCACCTACTCTGTGCTTGGTAGGCTTGGTAGGCTGGGCATTGGGAGGAGAGGGGACGTGCATATAATCACTCACACATTTGCTGAATAAATATTTACTGAACATCTACTGAGTACCCTTCACTGCACTGGAAATATAGTGAACCCAACAGGCTTATTCTCACAGCAGTGTCAGGTTAGGGAAACTGAAAACAGCATGTCTGGTTAGGGAAACTGAGGCAGTAGAGCTCCACATGAAGGTCTCATTGCTGACAGCACCAGGCCCTGAAACTTAGGCCACCCAGCATCCTGACCCAGGCTGGCCCTGCTGACAGGGCCACCTCCCTGTCCTCCTCGCACATTTCCTCTCAGGGCACTGATGATGAGTCATTAATAATGGAATTTTAATGGCAAAAGCACAGCAGTTCCTGGGCTGGTGAGGCCCATCCCCTGGGGCTGTATCGCAGCCCAGTGACTGAACAGCCGAAGATTTCTGGTCCCTTGGCAATACCTCTCTCACAACTCTTCCATCCTTCCCTCTCCACAAGGAAGGGCCCTTCCTTTTTAAATTGGACAGCTTAAAATATTCCACCCCCACCTCTGGCACCCCAAATCGAAACAGTATTTCACTGCGTAGCAATTAACACGGCCATCACCACAGGACACCCAGTGTCCATGACTGTCTCAACTGCCCCTTGGCCCCAGGCATGGCTAGGAGGAAACCACAATCTGAGAACCTAAAAGGGCAAGCAGGGGGCAGGGGCTGGGGCCCCATGGGGAGGGCAGGTGGTGACGTTTTGCACAGAGGGTGCCCCAGGAAGGCTCAAAAGCAATCTGCTGGGAATTGGGCTCTGTGCTCAGCCCAGTGAGGGGAACACCGGGTTAACCCAGTTCTTTACTGTAGGACTTCTTGGAACCTCGAATATGCTGATGCGTATCATGAATCTATAAAAAGGGGACGTCTGGTGTAGCGTTTCCCAAACTTATTTGACCACAGAAACCTTTTTTTTTGGCAGAGATTAGTGCACTCATGGCTGAAAACCCTGAGCTTTCGCCAAGGCGCACCAGGTCCCTGCCCTGCACGGGCATTGCCTTAAGTGTGAGGATGCTGAACACAAAGAGGAGGTCCCTGCTCCCAAGGAGCGCCACCTGAGGGAGGCAGCCATGTGCAGGACAGCCCTGGAAAGGGAGCAGGGGGCAGGGGAGGCGCTGGAGCTAGAGGCAGCTCAGGCCCCAGGGTGAGAGGAAGGGGCTGGGAAAGTGAGGCAGGGAGCACCCAGAAGCTGGGAGACGTGGGGTGGGCAGCAGAGGCGATAATGGGGGCAATTCCCCCACCCCCCGCAAACCTGCCCACCTTTGAATTGGCCAAGCTGGTTGGTCCTTCCCATTCAAACCGTCAACAGAGGGGGGGGGGCCCTCCATCACTCCACCACCCCAACCCTAAGCACATCTATGCTATTGAACTTGGGCTGACATCCAGAAGCCAGGGAAGAGCTATTCACAAATTCAGTAATTGGACTCATTAGTGTTGACTCAGAAATCATTCTTTTCGAAGTCTCTCTCTTGGAGAAGCTTTTAAGACCCTTTAAATTAGTTAATGGAGAGTTTAGAGATGAGGACGGAGCCTTGGCTTTCAGCTGCCCCGTCTCCCGGCTCTCCCCGGCACACTCAAGGGCGAGAGAGATCAGATAATCCAATATCTTTTATTAAACACACAGACATTTCTGGCATACCTTTCCCAAAAGAGGACCTCAAAATCTGCACTCCCCTGCTCCAAGACTCCCTGTGCTCAGTCTCCATTTACTCTCTCCCAGCAGTAGGATGATAGCGCTTTCACACAAAATTACAGCGTGAACTGGTGGAAAAGAAACGTGGGCCAGCAGTCAGGAGGCCTGGCCCTCATCCTGGCCTGGCGACTCATAAAGCCACGCAACCATCGGCATCCATCACTCTGCCTCCCCGGGCCTAAGCGAGCACCAAGGTCCTCTCTGCAGCGAAATGCCCTTGTGTTTATCCTGCGGGGGGGGGGGGTGGGCACGGCAGTAGACACCCCTGCCCTCGTCTTCAACTGAGGAAACAATATAACAAGTCAAGGTGACATGGCCAGGCAAGTTGCAGAGCCTGAATCTGGGTCTTCACACACTTTCCTCTTCTTTACTGTGCTGGGGCAGGTGCTTAAGGTTTTGGGGAAGGTGGCCGGACAACTGGCCTCTTCTTTGGGACTCAACTGGGCCTCTTCTTTGGTATCTCTCTGAGAACCCACAGTCTCCATCTTTAGGGCTCAAGTGAGGTCTGAAAAAGTCAAGCAGATACATCCAGGGGTTTAGGTAAGAAATTCCTTCCTTTCAAATCAAAGGTGAAATGAAAACAATCGTGAATCCACTGGGATGAACAAAGGCGCACGCTGGAGCTACGGCTGGGGACAGCGTGTTCAGTGTTTCCCAAGTGTCAGCCATTCATGGAACCCTCCCACGATTCTACCACCTCTCCCCTTTTTGATATTTTTCTTTAAATTGCTTGACTGGGTTTTTTTGAGACACAGTCTTGCTCTGTTGCCCAGGCTAGAGTGCAGTGGCATCATTATAATTCACAGCAACCTCAAACTCCCAGGCTCAAGTGATCCTCCCACCTCTCAGCCTCCTAAATAGCTGAGACACAGGCGGGCGCCACCATGCCCAGCATATTTTTAATTTTTAAAAATTTTTTGTAGACATGGGGTCTCACTATGTTGCTTGGGCTGGTCTCAAATTCACAGCCTCAAGCGATCCTTCCACTTCAGCCTCCCAAAGTATTAGGATTACAGGCATTGAGCCACTTCGCCTGGCCCACTATATTTTTGTTAAAGTTAACTTTATCCTAGGCATAACATCTGTAAAACTATAGGTCAATATGCTAGTCACATTTTCATATTATATATTAAATATATAACTATTAAAATAAAAAATATTAATTTGAATACCACCTAAAATCCTCTTGTGAACCATCAGACAGGTGTACATGTCAGACACTGGCAAACAATGGCATAGTTTAAGTGTGAGGAAACTGAGGCATGGGGAGGGCTAAGGTAAGTGATTTGCTCAAAGACAAAGGCTAAGGTGAGGACCAGGGTCTCTGGACTCTTCAGTAGAGTTTTTCTCAGGTCATTGGATGAATCCTTTTGGTGCACAGACCAGAAATGACTGTGAAGGCATCCAAGGATCAGCTGTGAGGCTACCACGTGGGGAAAAGGTCAAAGTCATTTACTAGCTATATACTTGGAATTGCTTGGGAACCTGAGCTCCCACTGGAATTTCTACCCTAGAAAGGGAAACTGACGCTCTATTTTTGTCATCCAACCTCGTGGCCCCCCTGGTTCCTAAGAGGCACCACTAACTGTGTTTGATCTCACCTTAGCCAAAACCCAGTCTTACGAGACTCGTTTCCAAGGGGTAGGGGTGTGGGGCCATAGCCCTGCTGGGGACTCCGGGGCTGGCGCCGAGATGCCCGCTTCTGCAGAGGACGCCAAGGTTCCCTGTGCTCGAGGCGTGCGGGAGGTGGGAGGTTCCTGACAGCAGGGTGTTCAGGCTGCAGAGGGAGGGGCTGGAGAAAGACTTCAGTCCCTTAACTGCCAGGTCGCTGGACCCCGGAGCTACAAGAAGAAGTGAGACCAACTCTTAACTCATGCTATATTCTTTTTTTTTTTTTTTTTTGAGACAGAGTCTTGCTTTGTTGTCCAGGCTAGAGTGAGTGCCGTGGCGTCAGTCTAGCTCACAGCAACCTCAAACTCCTGGGCTTGAGCGATCCTACTGCCTCAGCCTCCCGAGTAGCTGGGACTACAGGCATGTGCCACCATGCCCGGCTAATTTTATATATATATCAGTTGGCCAATTAATTTCTTTCTATTTATAGTAGAGACGGGGTCTTGCTCTTGCTCAGAACTCCTGACCTTGAGCAATCCGCCTGCCTCGGCCTCCCAGAGAGCTAGGATTACAGGCGTGAGCCACCGCGCCCGGCCTCATGCTATATTCTTGAACTTCTACTTTGAAGCAAGGACTCCTTCAAGGGCTTGGTTCCCTCTGGCCTTGTTAACTCAGCCCAACCCCAGTGGCTCTGGAGCCCTAGCAGGGGAATTCGGACAGCCCCAGGACATTCTCTCCTAAAAAAATCATCAGAGCTGCCACCACTTACTTATTCAATACCTACCACGGTCAGGCTGTGCTAAGCCCTTTACAGCATCTCATTTAACCCTTACAACAACCTAGTGAGTTAGGTCACCCTTACTTCAAGTTCAGTTGACAACTGGAGGTAAAACTCGGGTTTCTCTGACTCCAAAAGCTGTGCTCTTAACCACCACTGGGGGCAGAAAGGACAAGGAGACCAGGGGCTCCTGCCACCACCTTCCCTGTCACAGGGTGCTGATCTCAGGGAGGGATCTGTCGGCTCTGACTTGCATCCGCACCTGCTCTCTCAGTGGAAAAGAGAGCCCGAACCCTCTCCTGGGCAGGCGCGTTTCCCAGAGCCGCGGCCTGCTGGTAACACCGCAGGGCCTCTCGCAGATTCCTCTGCACGCCGAGGCCTTTCTCGTAGCAAATTCCCAAGTGGTACCTGCTCTGTGAGTCCTGAAGGAGAAGAAAATGGACAGATACACACATGCAGAAGCGAGGAACTGAAACGCTGAGGCGGGAGGAAGGCGACGGCAGGCACGCTAGGGCTTATCGTCCGTGCAGGGTCGAGGCCCAGCCCCGCCCGCCCACACACCGAGGGATCCCAGCATGAACTACCTGAGGCCCCGAGCTTGCCCAGCACAGAGGGGACGGGGTCCCTCCACCCAGGGGGATTCCAGCCACAGCAGTGTGGAAGCTTCTCTCGCTGAGCTGGCTGAAAGCATGCAGAAGGGAAGGCTACTTCGGGAAACAGCCCACCAGCTCTGTCCTGACAGAGCAAGGAGGCAGGGTGGAGGGTCAGCTTCCCCAGGGCCCTGCACGCCTTCCTGAAGCTCTGCCTGAGAGGGCTGCAAAGCATAAACCACAGAGCACGTGTTTCTCGGCCTTCAAAAGGCTGAGCCCTTTGCCCACGCCTCTGGGTGCTCTCCTCTCACTGAGATCTGCGCTCTTCCGAGAGGCAGGATCTGGCAGGAGCTGGGCGCCCAGCTGTCCGGCCAGACTGCCTGGGTTCCAATCACGGCTCTGCCACTTACCAGCTGTGTGATCTCAGGCATGTCACTCTACAGCTCAGTGCCTCAGTTTCCTCGCCTATAAACTGGGGATAATAATAGCACCTACCGTATTGGGTTGCTGTATGGATTAAATGTGTTACTATGTGAACACATTTACTAGTGCCTAGCACTGGTGTTCCTAGTGCCCAGACTAATGCTATTGTTATCATCCCCTTTAGTCGCCCCCTTCAGTAATGTCCCCTTCTCTACTGGAACACTGTCATCATAGTCACTCTCTCAACCTATAAAAACCAAACACTGTTGACTCCCAACCATGGTCTCACTTCTTTACCACCCTTCACAGTCAAATTGCAAATTTCCAGTCAAATTTCTGGACAGGCTGAACCCTCACTTCTGTAACATGCAGGCTACGGGCCAGGTTACGACACACCTGACCCTGCCACGCTACTTGGTGCAAACCCAGGAAGACACTATTACCCGTGGGGTAGATAAGTGTGACGTCTGTGTCCAACACACTGTCACATAACAGGTGACAGACACCCCTCTGTGCACTGTCCTCTTAGCATGCCAGTCTGATTAAAGCGGGCCAGGCTGCCCCCGGGCTTGGCCAGCACAGAGACTCGCAGGATCGCCCAGCCCGAGGAAGCTCTGTGGGGCTATTTCAAGGAAAGGCAGGCACAGAGGCCAGCACTGACTGGGGACTTTGGTCTCATATGGCAGCTACTATAAATATTTTGGGCAATACGGAGTGGACAAGGAAAAGTATTCTCATGCCCAAGAGTTCAATGAAGCTATCAGTTTGGCCAAAAAACAGAGGAAGCAGTCGCTACCCACATAGGGAAATTATAGTACGTGCATATCGCTTACTTCAATCCAGGACTCTGGGTTCTTCAAGATGCAACTCAAAAAACATGCTGGTCAAAAACACTTGAGGAATACAGCAAACCACAGATTGCCTTCACAGTGACATAAAGCTTTGAGATTTCCTACATTAAAGATAACTGTTTAACTCAGTATTTCCCAAATCCAACTAACCATTTTTTCCCTTCACATTATTTATAAATGTCCCGTGGAACTAATGCTCCACGGAACAAACTCTGGGTCCTACTGCCTGAGTGCCAATGCCCCCAGTTCACAGATGAGACATCCCTACTGCCCAAACTGCTGAGTGTCTCCACCTCATGTGTCTTCTGACTTCTCCGGGCTTCTGCCACTGGTAATGATGCACTTTTCAGGTGCACAGCTTACAGAGTGCTCTCACACCTGTCATCTACCTAGATTTCGATCCTCACGACAGCGCTGTGAAGTAGTGGACAGGCAAGGAAGGCATGGAACACTGTCATCATAGTCACTCTCTCAACCTAAAAAAACCAAACACTGTTGACTCCCAACCATGGTCTCACTTCTTTACCACCCTTCATAGTCAAATTGCAAATTTCCAGTCAAATTTCTGGACAGGCTGAACCCTCACTTCTGTAACATGCAGGCTACGGGCCAGGTTACGACACACCCGACCCTGCCACGCTGCTTGGTGCAAACCCAGGAAGACACTATTACCCGTGGGGTAGATAAGTGTGACGTCTGTGTCACACTTATTATGCCCACTTTAAAGGCAAGGAAACAGGTTTGAATCAAGAAATGACTGGGCCCAGCAGTGTGCAGGTGAATCTTTAACCACTGGCTCTCCAGAGGGCAAAAGCCCTGCTTTATAGCATTCAGCAACTCTGTGGTGCAAATACTCCCACCACAGAAGATTCTAAGCCACCAAGAGCTCTCGCAGCCTGGTGTGGAGCAGCTCCAGCACACCACTGGGCCTGCGCAAGGGCACACAGTAGGTCAGCAAGAGCCAAGGCTGGAAGCCAGCCCAATGCTCCTATCAAACCATCTTCTAAGCACAGAACTCAGTGCCAGTTCCCTAACCCCTCCTCTTATCAAACTCAGTCCCCAACGTGCCTGGATACTAGAGATCGCATACCCCATTGCTGGCTGCAAGCCAAAGATACTTCACAGCTCTCTGCTCGTCCAGGTACGGCTCCTTGGTGAAAAGCACTCCGAGGAAAGCCTGGGCCTATGGTCAAGGAGGAAGGAACAAAGGCATGTGGTCACTTTCAGGCTCCACACGCCCCAGGGACCTGGGACGGGCCCTGCCAATGGCACTCACCTCTCTCAAGCCCGAGTCTGCAGCCTGCCTCAGCATGGACACCGCCCTCTGCTGCTCAGGGCCCCACGAGGGGGCCAGGTCCCGCAGCAGGCACCTGGCACAGCGGTACTGAGCCAGGCTGTGGCCCTGGCTGGCAGCCAACTGGTAATAAAGGACCGCCTGGGGCAAAGGGAGAGACACCCCGTCAGCTGGTAACTCTGTAAGCACTTTCGTCTTTGTGTGAAATTTGAAAAAATTATTTTAATTAAATAATACATAAGCATTATAGATTAGTCAGAAAATTCAGATAAGCCAAAATTTAAAAATATAAAACAAAAATAGAAACATAAAATCCCAAGAAATCCTGCCTCCTAAGGATCATTCTCTGTTAAAATTTTAGTATACAGCTTTGCAAATTTCTTCCCACATATATATGTGTTATATACACACACATATACATTATATATATATTCACACACATATTTAAGTGTGTATATATAGAGAGAACTGGATCATACTATACTATTTTGCAACCTATTTTTTTACTTAGCAATACACTATGAATGTCTTTCCTTGCCAATAAATATAGATCTAGCACATCATTTTTAAGGCCAAATACAAATATAGATGTAATTAACCAGTTTTCCTTCTCCCCTAAGCTGGCATGCAATGGCCCAATCACAGCCCACTGTAACCTCAAACTCCTGGGCTCAAGCAATCCTCCTGCCTTAGCCTCCCAAGTAGCTGGGACTACAGGGGTGAATCACCATGCCCCGCTAACTTTTTAATTTTTTTGTCGAGATGAATCTTACTATGTTGTCCAGGCTAGTCTTGAATTCCTGGCCTTAAGTGATCCTCCCAAAATGCTGGGATTATAGGTGTGAGCCACTGTGCCCAATCATAACTAGTTTTCTATTGAAAGAACCTTAATCTGCTTTCCGTTTTTTTGCCTTCATACAACTCTTAGAAATACATTCTTATATATAACCTGTTTGTGTACTTATCCTACTTCTTAAAACTGAATTAATCCATTCACCATAGTGCTGGTCTAGCCTCTGAGGATATAATTGCAAAGAAGAGAGGCAAAATCCCTGTCCTCCCTGAGTTTTCAGTCTAAATTCCCAGAAGCTAGAGTTTCTTCCTCATTTTCCCCTCGAAGCTGGGCTGGAACCAAGTGGTGGAGAGAAGCTGAACTTTCCCCCATCCCTGCCCACTACTCATTTCCAGAGATCACTCTGGGCAGCCCCTACAGGGTACAGGCCTGGGGCAGGGGAGTAGGTGCAGTACCTTGCTAATGTCCCTGGGGGTGCCCCTGCCATGCTCATGACACAACCCCGTGTTGTATTGTGCTTTGCTGTAGCCCCGGTCTGCAGCTTTCTTGAAGTAAGAAAAGCCTGCCGTGTAGTCCCCGTTCCTCATGTTCTGTGTCCCTGTAAGAAAGCACAGGGCACAAACACTCACAGCTTTCTCTGCGAACTTCCCCATATCCTCAGCCAGATACCTATAGGTTCATCTTCTGATCCCAGACTCCTTCCTTCCTTTTTTTTTTTTTTTTTTTTTGAGACAGTCTTGCTAGAGTGCCATGGCATCAGCCTAGCTCACAGCAACCTCAAACTCCCTGGCTCATGTGATCCTCCTGCCTCAGCCTCCTGAGTAGCTGGGGACTACAGGCATGTGCCACCATGCCTGGCAACATGACTACAGGAGTGTGTCTGCCACCATCTTTTTTTCTATTTTTAGTAGAGATGGGGTCTTGCTCTTGCTCAGGCTGGTCTCAAACTCCTGACCTCAAGCAATCCTCCTGCCTCCACCTCCCAGAGTGCTAGGATTAGAGGCATGAGCCACCACACCTGAGCCTTCCTTCCTTTTTTGTGTTAGACACTTTGCATATATTCCTATCCTCTGAATATTTCACTGGTTTGGCACCTACGTTAGTGGGCTCTGCCCTCCTATAAACATTCCTCCACCTCTTGGTAATAGCTTCCAGATTCACCTTGGGGAACAACCCCTCCCCCAGTCTGTCAATCAGTGTGCCCACACTCTTCCCAGCCAAGGAGACTCTCAGGAATCTGAATCTTGATCTTGTTGGGACAAGGAGAGAAAACAGTCCTTGTAGGTTTATTCTAATAGCAATAGTCTGAAGATACAGTCTATCGCATGTTGCCCACTGGGTCTCTGGAGCTTCCCTGATTTCTGTCCTTTCAGAGGCTCAGCAGGTCAATAAATCCTGGTAGATTCCTTCTGTGCTTAAGTTAGCCAGAGTACATTTAGGCTGCTTGTATCCAGCAAACCTTAACTGATACAAGTGATACTGCTAATTCTGTTTCATGAGGAAACTGGAAGTGGTGATATAAGACAGCCAAGATCTGAATGCAGGAACATCCAACTCGAAGGCCCAAGCTCTTTTCATTGTCCAAACAAAAGGGAAATAGGAAAAGAGCAGGGCACAGCCAATTCTCAACTCTAAGTCTTTGCTCAAACTGCCTCTCCGGCCTGGGATCTCTCTTTCTGCCTCCACCATCAGGCCTCCTACCTTGTTTCTGCTCTAGAAACTTCAGACCACACTCAGGCTTTACTTTTTTGGCTCTTACTTAATATACCAAGCCTTTTTCTATGAACTAAATTGTTTCAAGAGTACAAGTCCTGTCTCCTCAATTAGACTGCAAAATCCTGGAGGCAGAAACAGAAAAAGAATGTAGAAGAAATAACTGCATAGGATGAAAGCTCTATACAAATGCAAAATATGATTATGGCTTCTGCTCCCTTTGTGTTCTGCCACAGTGCTCAGCACTTGCTGAATAAATGAATATGTGAATGAAGGAATGGGTAAGAAAATTCTGAGAAGAGCCTGTCGGCCCATCAAAATCACAAAAAGCTAATGAAGTAGAAGCCAGGTTCCATTCAGCCACCAGGGAATTACATAAAGCTGCCTCCCTGCTGCCTGAACACTTACTGACCAGGGTTGACAGAGCCCTCTGTCCTTGAGGAGAAGAGTAAAGAGGGCAAAGGATCCCACCCTGTCCCCATTCCCCACCTGGCTCCACTGAAATACCCTAATCCAGCTCTTCTTCCCAGTCTCCTCTTCCTCTGGCCTAGACCACCCCTCCATCCTGTTTTGCTCAGCTCTCAGTAACATCTCCTACTACCTGGCCTCCCGTTTCCCCTCTAGCACCGCTACAATCCACGTGTGTCTATACAACAGCCAGAAAGATCTTCAGAAAAGTAAATCAGATCATGTTACTGCCCAGCTTCCTGCCCCTGCTTAAAGCCCTCCAATGCCTTCTTGTCTCACCTAGATAATCCACACTCTTTACCTTGGCTCAGAAGACCTCACCTGATCTGGCCCCTGCCTGCTCCTCTGACTTCATCTCCTTCCACTCTTCCTGAGATCCCTAATCTCCAGCCACACTCCCCTTTGCCTTTTTCCTTTAACGTTCAAAATTCAATCCTGCCACAGGAACTTTGCACTGCTGTTCCCTCCACTTGGAAAGCTCTTTCTCCGGATGGAAACAAGAATGGCTTGTTTTGTTAGTCAAGTCTTAGCTCAAGGCTCTTCCCTTCAGTGAAGACTTCCAAGTCCAAAGGTGCTCCTTGCCCAAGTCACTAACACATCCCCTTGTTTTATTTTCTTCATAACATTTATCACCATCTGAAATTCTTTTTGTTTGCCAATGTATTGTTTTTCACTCCTTCAACTCACGTGTCAGTTCCCTGAGAGTAAGAACTTTGTCTTGTGAATCACTACATCTCTAGCACCTAAAGCAGGGCCTAGCAAAAGGTAAATGCTCAATTTGTTCCAAATGAATCCCAGCCTTTCACCCATCTGCCCACTAGAATCCAAAAGATGCTTCCCGGAGTCTGGGTCTCCACATTAGAAGGCCTGAAACTTGAGCCAAGTCACTATGGAGACCAGAATAAATGGCGGAGGGGCATCAGGAGTCTGCAGATATGGGCAAGAGGTTCCTATTCACACACTCGAGGGCCTGCTCTAAACTTTCCTACGTGTGGCAGCCAATGCCAGGTGTCCTCTAAGATTTATTTCCTCCTTCTTACATAATAACAGAAGTTTCAGGTCAGCACATAGTTATTCGGATAAAGATGACATTTCCAGCCTCCTCTGTGACTGGGTGTGGTCACAAGCCTACATTCAGGACAAAGATCTGTGTAACTTCTAGGTCATGTCCTTAAAGTCCCTAAAGGAGTGGTCCTTTAGCCTCCCCACCCTCTTCCTTCCAGCTGGCTCGAGTATGGGTACGAGGGCAGGAGCTGGAACAGCCAAACTGGAGCTCAATGTGGGAGGCAGTTCTAAGAATGGCAGACACACTTGAATAAGAAAGGGTCTCTGACACCACTGAGCCACCAAGCCCGATTTGGTCTACCAACCTGGGAGAAAACAAAATCTCTCTTATTTAAACCATTCCCCATTCTGACTGTATTTGACCCACCCATACCCTTTCCAATTGTCCATCCTCCTGCCTTGAGGCAGGATCCATTCAGTTACCCAGGAAGTTGAAAGCGAGGGAAACACTGAGCTGGAGGAGCTGCTGAATGGAAGTCACGGCCTCCTCGAGGGAAAGAGTTTTTGATGTATCTTGTTCCTGGGGAAGGAATACGAAGACTCATCAAGGGATGGTTCCCCGGGATTGCCACTTGCCCAAGAGAACGTTACAGGGTTCTGGGTGGCCAACTCTGGATAATACCTTCTTTGCACTAGTGGGCTGAGGCTGGACTGGTTTTGCCTTGGACTCGAAGCTACTGCTGGCGTGCAAGAAGCCCAAATCACTGGGATCTGCAAGGGAAGGGCCGACACCCAGCCAGGACAAAGGAGAAAGCTGTTACTTCTTTTCTCCTCCTCTCCCAGGCTACCCAGGCTCTCCATCCGGCACCCTTGCCAAGAACCAAAATACGCTAAACCATCCCAGAAGGCATGGGACCTCACAGGAATGACAATTCCCTTATCTGGGAATATGCAGCAGCCAACGTCCATCTGCCCAACTTCCCCGCCAAGACCCCCTGCCTTCTGCCAACTCTGCAAGGTGGGGACATACCTTCCTCAGAGGGGTCCCAAGGACCAGCTGCTCTCAAGGAGCTACGTGAGGAGAAGCTCTCGGGCTGAGCTGAGGGTTCGTCCTGGCCCAGCCTGGGTTCCCTGTGGCCAGTGTGCCTGGGAGCTGGGCCGTCAGGGCTGGGGAGAATGTGCCGCTGCAGTGCTGTGGAGAGCCAGCAAGAGTAGTCAGGTCAGAAGGGGGTCAGTGCAGCCTGCTCGGGCTTGACTGAGTCCTCCCTCGAGTTTTAGAGACCTAGGAAGAAGTCTGAACCACCTGTGACACTTCCTTCACGCTCCTCCTCCTCCTCTATTTCCTTGGCTGGTTTCCCTCCACAGGGGTCTGGAGGGGCCTGTATTTATGCTAATCTCCTACCCTGAGCATCAGCCACTCCTCCGCTTAAATTCTTCCAGTAGCAGGGAGGCATCTACCCTGGTCACTGTTGTAGCCCCACTACCTAGCACTTCCTTTGATGGTGATATCAATAATGATTATCATCATCATAGTAAGGACAAGAACTAATACTTAAACTAGTAATTACTGAGCACTTACTATGTGCCAGGCATTGTTCTAAGTCCTTGACATGTATTAACTTTTTTTTTTCTTTGAGAGAGTCTAGCTTTGTTGCCCAGCCTAGCTCACAGCAACCTCAGACACCTGGGCTCAAGCGATCCTTCCGCCTCAGCCTCCCGAGCAGCTGGGACTATGGGCATGCGCCACCATGCCCGGCTAATTTTTTCTATATATATTAGTTGGCCAATTAATTTCTTTCTACTTATAGTGGAGACGGGGTCTTGCTCATGCTCAGGCTGGTTTCAAATTCCTGACCTCGAGCAATCCACCCACCTCAGCCTCCCAGAGTGCTAGGATTACAGGCGTGAGCCACCGTGCCCAGCTGACATGTATTAACTTATTTAGTCCTTCCAAGAAACCTATGGGGGTGGGTTTTATTGCCCCATTTTATAGATGAAGCCATTGAGGCACAGGGAAGTTAAAATTGACTTGTTCAGGGTCACAAGACTAGCATGCAGCAGTTCTGGGGCTTCAACCCTCACCATCTGACTCTAGATCCTCAACTGCTAGGCTGTATTACCTCTATCATGGCATATAATAGGTACTCAATAAAGATTCATTTATTGATGAATGACTAAATGACCAGAGAATGACCTAACTGGCTGACAGCTGGACAGGAAGCCACCCCCAGGATCTAAAGTAGTCTGGACTTACGGGGCTCCCTCCACAGGGGGTAATGGGAGGACATGGAAAGACACTGAGGAGCAGGTGTGGCTCACACCCTGGGTGGACAGAACTTCCCCCCATTCCCCTTCCTCTGAGTTCAGATAGGAAAGGCAAGGAGCTGCTGATGGTTCTTTTCCTGAGGTGTGTCCAGAGATGCTTCCTGGCCCAGAGAAACTCCCAGCCCAACCCTCCTGTCCCCAGGACTGAGAACTCACAGAAGCATGGGTGCCACAAGGGAAATGACAGGAAACGGTCCAGAGGACTGTGCCAAGAGCAGTGTTCCACTCGCCGAGGTCCTGCTGGCAGGGATGCCTGGAAGTGGATCTGCCTTGCCAGCTGCAGGGCCAGCACAGCCAGAGTGCCCTGGGAAAGACAGCGCATTAGGGACACAGTCTTCCACCGGTCAACTCCTTCAGACCTGGCCTTCAGCTCAACCATCCCTGGGAAGCCGGGCTGGGGCAGCTCCCCTACTATGTACTGTCATAGCACCCAAACTTCTCTTCCGGAGCCTGATGCCACTGGTACTTAAACTATCATCTCTGCAATCACTCATCTAAGGTTTGTCTTTCCTGTTAGTCTCTAAACATGATGAGGGCAGGAGCCATGTATGTTTTGGTCACCAATGTATCCCTGGTTCCCAGTACAGTGCTAAGATATAGTAGGGACCCAACAGACACATGCTGAATAAATGCACGAGTGACTGACTGAATAAACAAAGTCTAAGCAGGCAAAAAGATGACGTGGTAGGTTGGGACTTAGCTGCAAATGCAGCAACAAGTCAGAGTTCCCCATCAGGCTCACTCTCCAGTCTGGAACAGCCCTTTCCCTTCCCCCAGCCAGGCCGCCCCACCACACACATCTACAGGTGTTTCTCCTCTATCAGGTCTGCAGAAGACCTGAGCTAGCTCCGATCCCAGTGACTGCCTGGCTTTCCCTGCCTCCACCTGTGCTGTGCTCAGGAAGAGACACCCAGGTACTTATTTGTTGCAACAGGCACTGCATAACGTGGCAAATAAGACAGACATAGTCTCTGCCCTCAGGAAGTTTATATCTTGCCTTGAAAGAGAAAGACAAAATCCAAGTACACAGAGAAATAAACATAATAACTATCAATTATGGTAAATGCCAATAAGAGACAAATCAGGGGGTTACATAGAGCATGAGAGGGAGGACTGACAAGATAAGCAGTCAGGGAAAGCATGTCTGTGAGGGTGAGTGTGAGCTAAGGCCAGAAGAGAAGGTACCTAATAATAAACAGCATTATTTATTAATATAAAGTATTATGCATGCATTATCATGTGTAATCCTTACAAAAATCTTGCTAGGGAAATATAATCTTCATTATATAGATGAGGAAACTCAGGCTCTAAAATGTTAGGTTACATGGTTAAGGTCACACAGGTGTTAAGTGGGGGAGCTGGATTTAACTCTAGAGTTCACGCTTTACTGCTTCACTGCTGCACCTACTATGACTTGTAAAAGCACCTAGTTCAGACCCTAGCCCATAATAGTTGCTCAGTAAATATTCGTTGAATCTGATCTATAAAGTCAGATGCTTGGTGGTGAACACTAGATCCGACTGGGCAGAATCTTTGCCTTTCAGGTCTTGGTAAAAGCTCTGCTTATAAGGTATTCTGAAAGAAGTTGGCACACATATCACTCTCACGTCTGTCACATCTCCTCCCTGCTGCTTTCATGCTGTGTACTTTGGGCAAGTGACTTGACCTCTCTAGGACTCAGTTTTCTCATGTGTAAATTGGTGTCATTAGAAGAGCTAAGCCTGAGATATCTCCACGACGGGGACACCTCTCTCTGGGAGATGTGCACTAGGGGCATAAGACGCTGGAGAAGGATGAGTTTTCCCATTTTGCCAGAGAAGATCTGTGCCCTAGGGCAGTCCCACAGTGAGTGGGACTTTTTGGAGCTGGACCTGGATTCCAGAAGTCCTGATACTATCCCTGGGCTCTGTCACTGCTGCTTGTAAGAAAGGGTCTGCACACAAGCTGTCCCCAATGCTATCGATACTTTTTGTTCTTTATATTAATAAACAATGCTATTTATTATTATTTATTATAAGCTTCATGAAGGCAAGAATGTATCCACCTTGTTCTCTGCTATGTTCCTAAGGCCTAGCAAAAATGTGTGGCTCAGAGAAGGTGTTAAATAAAAGTTTACCAAATGAAATGAGAAATAAATACGTGGCAGGGAGAAGGGTGGGAGGGAGAGCAGCAATATCGCCCTGAATCTGCTCTAATGCTATGGGTTACTCATTGTGTGGACACAATGATGCCCTAGCTCTTGTTTCTAGGTTAGACTATACTTCCATGCAGGATCATTCTCATCCACGCTGAAGGTCAAGGACAGGGCTGCGGAAGCCTTACCCATGATATGGCGTCCCACAGGGTGTTTGGTGAGACATGGGCTGACTTCCATTGGAAGGCATCTTTCCATCCATGGGACCTTGGACCACTGCTCCTGCCTGGGCCCTGGGGACCCGACCTAGATGATGCAATAAGAGCTGTCAAGTTCTGTCCAAAATGAAGGCAGAGGGAAGCCAGGGGAAGAGATGGATGACAGAATGGCAGTATCTCACCTGTCAAGGTTGGGCACAGGGACCAGCAGGGTGGAGGAGGTAGCCTGAGGCCCATCTGGGCTGGTGGACTTGGCCGTCACCCCCCGAAGGCTGGGTCCCAGCAGACGGGGAAGAGCTGTGCGGAGCAACAAGGATTAGTTATCTCACCAGGAATGGGAGTGAGGCAAAGGCTGCCCCAACAATCTTCTCTCTGACCTGGGACGGAGCCCCACCAGAATTTCTCAGGGTAGAGTATCTATCTACATTTTGAAAAAGCTCCCACGTGATTCTGATGCCTTCCTACAGCTGCCAACCATTGTTCTAAGATGACCAGACACTCACACACACACTCTCGCCCAATGAATGGGGCGCTTTGGTTCTAAACTCCTCCTCTCTACACTGGCTCTGCTTACTCCATTCGCTTCCAGTCGTCTTTCATTCGCTCCGCCCACCATCTCCTGCCATTTGACTCCTCCCCCTTTCAACAGCCCCACCCATACCCTTGAAGCTAAGCTCCACCCTCCACTCGTCAGCCCCTACCACAGCTCAAATGCCGCCAGTCCCTGACGTCTTGGCCCCGCCCCTTTAAGGCCCCGCCCCTCCGCGCTAAGCCCGCTCGCCTTAGCTTCGGCTGGTTTCTCCCGCCCGCCCCCACCTCCACTTCCGCCTCAGCGGCCCCAGGACGCTCGCTGCTCGGACGCCCCTCACCTCGGCCCAGCAGTCCCGGGAGGCGCCACATGTTGTTGCTAGCACCATAGAGAGCTTGCAGCCGCAAGAGCGGAGCCAAGCCACGGGACAGCGGCTAGAGCGGCCGCTGCGGAGCCCCGAGTGGCCGAGTCCCCAAGGAAGCCCTCAGCCAGCCAATTAGAAAGGCGCCTGGCCGGAAAGACGGCGCTCAGCGAGAGGAAGTGGGGGGTGTGGGCGTGTTTTGGGCTAGCGGGGAGGTGAACTGCGACAAGGGCATGGGGATGTGGGCCCAGCTGCCCGTGGGAGAGGTGTGCTTTGCCGCGCCCACGCAGAAGCTGGGGTGGCCGGTGGGGAGGCGGAACCGCTTAGAAGCAGGGCCACTGAGAAGCGGGCCCAGAGCTGCTTCGGTGGGGCGGGCACCGTGGTGCCGAGAAGGAGGAAGAGGCTTCCTCAGGCCCGGAGGCTTGAGGAGGTGGGCGTATCCAAGCTCCGCGGGTGGAGGAGAGGACCCCTAGGGTCCAACTAAAGAAGCCAGTGGTCCGACCCTTCCGTCCAAGGCCATCATCTGCTTAGATGCTCTGCCCTGCCCGAATGCGTAGGCGGTGAGAAGCTGCGCAGGACAGGATTTTCATTCCGGAGTTTTAACTCTGGCTCACATTCGTCTTACTGTGTAGGCTCAGACTGACCCCCTCTTCCCTTTTCTGGGCCTCAGTCTGTGCCACGATAGGGTCAAATGGAACGCCTGGTCTTGAGTTGCTCCTTTCAAAATACCAGAGGAGACAGCACTCACATCCACCAACACGCACCCTGTTAATCAGACTACTCATCTTCAGACCTAGCCAATGTGTTTATGGTCTTTTGTGGAAAAGAATAGTTCCTCACTTAAATCCATGAAATAAAGGAGTTCACATTGAAATGGAAGGTGTTTATTTAGACTTTCTCCCTCTCCCCTTCCCCCAGGTATGTGACTTTTAGGTGGTTGGTGGAAGACTGCCTGGTTTAAGAATACCGGGAGTACCTGCTTTTAGACCAAGGCACTGGTGTGAAAGTAGTATTAATTTGTTAAACAGTTTTTGAGATATATGTCAGTCATCGTCCTACTATCTGAGAAGACAGGTGAATAAAGAACATTAGTGGCATCCAGGAACACATGGTCCAGTGGATTAGGAGTGGGTTTGGGGCAGGGCACGAGTGGCTCAAATCTATAATCCCAGCACTTTGAGAGGCTGATGTGGGAGGATTGCTTGAGGCCAGGGCAACCTAGTGAAACTCTATCTTTTAAAAAAAAAAAGAATGGGCTTTGAAGTCCCACAAATCTGGGTTTGAATCCCAGCTTTCTTACTTCCTAGCTATGTTATCTTGCACAGATTCCTTAACCCCACTAAGCTTGGGTTCTTCATCTATAAACTAGAACACTTCATGCAATGGTGAGGTTTAAATAAAATAATGCATTAAAAATGTTTAGCAGCCTGAGCAACATAGTGAAACCCAGTCTCTACAAAAAATTTGAAAGTTAGCTGGGTTTGATGGCACATTCCTGTAGTCTCAGCTACTGGGGAGACTGAGGCAGGAGGATCACTAGAGCCCAGAAGTTTGAGGTTGCAGTGAGCTATGGTGACGCCACTGTACTCCAGCCTGAACAACAGCAAGATCCTGTCTTCAAACGAACAAAAATGTTTAGCACAGTTGCTGTGACATAATGTAAATGTAAGTCACTCTTGTTTTTTTTGTTTTTGTTTTTGGAGACAGAATCTCACTTTGTTGCCTAGGCCAAAGAAGTCACTCTTAATTATAGTAGTAGAGGAGGTAAGTAGTGAAAGATAATACTCCAACAGAAGCATGAGCAATGGGCTGTAGGATACCATGGAAGAACTCAGAAAAGTAGTTGCATTTGAGCTGGGCCTTTAAATAATGATTAAGAGTTTGCCAGGTGGAGAAGGAAGAATGGCATTGTAAGCAAAGGAAACAATAAATAAAGGCCCAGAAGTTTGAATATTGTGAAACTATTCAGAAATATCCTTGCTTTGGAACTTGGGGCAGCCACCTTTCACATTCTTTGTGTGGCTGTCTCAAAATAAAGTAAAAAACAAGTGTGCTGATTGGGCTCTGTTTTTCTTCCTGGGACTTCCTTTCAAACTGTAGTTTGTTTCATTCTTCTAGGCTCAGCCCAATCCCAATTCTTCAGAGAAGGCCTTTTCATTGTTTGAGCCCTCACTGCTCCCTACTTTTCCCAATTCCTGTAGCACTTAATTTCTTACTACACAGATTAGCAATAATTATATGTTGTCCTGTTACTTAATTATCTCATCTGTGTAAGTCTAGTCTCCCCAGTTCTCTCCCTCAGGGCAGGCAAGGCATTTTCCCACTTTGTGTCCCACGTAGGGCTTGGCATAAACTGTCAGCCCAGAGAATATAACGCCTGTTGACTTGACTGAACACTGTGTGCTGCTGATGATTACAGCCAAGAGCACCGGAGCCCAATCATGGGATTGACTGGTTTGAGTGAAAATGTATTCATTCCACATACAAACATTCATTGAGAGCCCTCCCTGCTTGAAGCTAGTTGAAAGTTTCGAAGGAGAGGATAAGGCATCTGTCTCCATGTATTTTAAATATAAAATGGCATTACGGCATCTCTTGCCCCCAGCAACCTGAGAACATCAACAGACCACTTGTGTGAGGGTAGATGGCAAGGGCAGCAGGAACCCACACCAGATCCCTGTTCAGTGCTGCCACAAGAGCACTGTCAGGAATGGCAACTGCCTGAACTGCCAGGCCCCAAACTATCAGCCATGCTTTTCTGCTCCCAGACTCTGTGTTGTTGGATTGTGGCCCGTTCCCTCTACAAAGCCCCTCCAGTTGACTCAATCCCTCTACAAAGGTAAGCTAACTATCTTACAGTGGGAACCTATTGCCCAGATGTCCAGTTAATCACCACTTGTGATGTGTACACATGCCGTTGTATACTATTTGTTGTTGCCTTTGTTTTTCTTGACATTCTTTTTTTTTTTTTTTTTTTTTGTGACAGAGTCTCACTTTGTTGTCCAGGCTAGAGCGAGTGCCGTGGCGTCAGCCTAGCTCACAGCAACCTCAAACTCCTGGGCTCGAGCGATCCTTCTGCCTCAGCCTCCCAAGTAGCTGGGACTACAGGCATGTGCCACCATGCCTGGCTAATTTTATATATATATATCAGTTGGCCAATTTCTTTCTATTTATAGTAGAGACGGGGTCTCGCTCTTGCTCAGGCTGGTTTTGAACTCCTGACCTTGAGCAATCCGCCCACCTCGGCCTCCCAGAGAGCTTGGATTACAGGCGTGAGCCACCGCACCCAGCCTTTGACATTCTTAATTTGCGTTAATCGGACACCTGAGAGCTTTGTTCCATGCTGGAGAATGTCCTGAATATATAACAAATATTAAAAAATGGATGTGGTCCCTGTCCTCATAGAGAAAATAGTCTAGTAGGGCAAAGTCGATAGGCAATTAGAATAGAGTGGTGCTTTAGTTATTGTAGCATAACAAACATCCCAAAATTTAGTAGCTTAAAACAATTTTATCGTCTCTCATAGTTCTGCAAATTGGGCTCCGTTAGGCAATTCTGCTGGTCTCACTTGGGGTCTTTCATGAGGTTGCAGTCAGATGGTGCCTGGTGTCATATGATGACTCAAGTAGGGCACTGGAAAGGCTTGGCCTCTTTCTTTCTCCATGTAGTCTCAGGGTCTCTTTGCTCCACATGGCCTCCCAGCTGGGTAGCTGGACTTCTTACACGGTGACTCAGAGCTTCCAAAAGTACAAAAGTGGAAGCCGCCAGGCTTCTTAAGTCTGGACCTGGAACAAGCACAGCATCACTTCTGCACTCTCTTGGTTAGAACAATTCACAGGGCCAGCCCAGAATCAGTGTGGGAGGGGAAGACTCAAGGTCATGAATACTGGGAAGTGTCATTTCGAAGACAGCAAGTGCTGTGTGGAGTAAGTCCAGGGTGCTGTGGGAACACCCAGGAGAGGCCCATAACCTAGGCATGGAAGTCAGGAAGACTTCCTGGAAGAAGCAACATTGTAAACTGACAAACCTGAATGGGAGGACTGGGAACTAGCCAGGTGAAGAAGAGGAAGGGAAAGTGCAATTTAGGCAGAGGATACGGCTAGTGCAAAGTTCCAGGGAGGCAAAGAAAACACAATCTAAGATCCGTGTGGCTATAACCTTGGGCGAGGTAGCGGAGGAAGGATGGAATAGTAGGCCTTTAGTCTGGAGGGGTAATTGAGGCCAGGGCAGAAAGCCTTGTAAGGCCCCTGAGATGTCTGGACTCTGACCTAAAGGCATGGGACACCTAGGAAGGGTTTCAGCAGGGGAGTGGCTGGGCCAGGGGGATCCAAGAAAGGTCACACTGGCTGCTGTATGGAATATGGATTGCGGTGGCTCAAGCCCCCATTTTCCTTTTGTCCATTCTAAACCAGTGACCTCACTTTCAGCACTGAGAAGGCTGCTTCATCACCTCAGAACTGCTACCAGCTCTTTTTGCTTTTTATTAGTGGGGATTTTCATTATAAAAGAATGCAGATGCCTTTATCTAAATGTTTTGTTTAATTTCTTTTTAAAATAACATGTCATAGAAAATCTGCTCCCTGGTAGGGATATGGGCATAGGGTTGGTTAGGTGGTCAAACGATTTGTAGTTAAGTGTGGAGTGCGTTAGGCAGAGCCTGCTGGTGGGGAGCAGAGAGCATGCCAAGCTCAGCAGACTTGACACCAGAGATAAATAACGGTCACCGAAAGAGCTCCTACTCTACTAAAAAGTCAAATAGTACTAAAGGCTTAAATCAAAACCAGCAGACCCCTGCCACACGCTCTCTCCCCTCTAGTCCTGCTCCCTAGAGGCAACTATTTTCAACTCTGTGAAGTGTTGGGAAGCAGCAAAGACGAGCAGAGGTTCTGGAATTGGATTATCTGGCAACAACGCTCTCCCACTTATCAGCCGGGTTACCCTGGTCAAGTTAATTTTAGTATCTTTTACCTTGATTTCGTTGTCCGTAAGATGGGAATGATAATTGTCCCTTCTTATGAGATAACACATTTAAATTGCTGGACACATGGTCAATAAATGGTAGCTATATATGATGATGATGAAGATCTAACTTGAGAGCAGCTGTGAGTACACTTGGACATTAAACACATACTACACAAATAAACATAAGGCATGCGTATGGT